AGGAGAAGGAGGGGAGGGCGGGGGGGGGGGGGGAAAGGGGGGGGGGCAGCGGCGGGGGAGGCGGTGGATTGAGGGAGGGGGTCAGACGTTTGCCTCGCTCGCCCGGCCTCCGGCACTTCTTCGCCTCCGCGGCTGCTCGCTCAGCCCCTCCCCGGCTGTGTGCCCCCGGGTTCAGTGTCGGCGAGCTGAACTGCTTATGTGTCAAAGCCATGGTCGGTCACCTGAAGTTCACCGGGGAGGAGGGGGAAGGGAGGGCTAAGGTGGTGTAGGAGCGGATGGCGTGTGTGCCTTGCGAGGTGTGGAGGGCTGGGTGTGTGTGTGTGTGTGTGCTTGAGCTGGGGAGGCGGCGGCGGGGGTGGGGGAAAGAGTTGGTCTCCCTTTTGGACCCGGAGCGCGCTCGATGACCGCCCTCCAGATATAAATTTCGATACTTGATCGATCGAAGGAAAGGGTCCCCCGAGTGCCCCAGCTCCTTTGCCCACGTCTCTTCCCGCCCTTCCATCCTTTCTCTGCCGCTTTGTCCCCCCCCCTCCTCCTCCCCTGAGATTCTGTCAGCCTGGCATTAATGAACCAAAGCAGAGGTGGAGAGACAAATGGCACTTAAGAGATTGCGTCCCCCCCTCCCGACACATACACACATAACGCGCATTGCTCATTTCCCTTGCCGCCCAAAACCAAGGCAAAGAGGGCTTCCGATTGGACCTCTCCCCGTGCCGCTCCGTCCTCCCCTGCCCCCCCATTGTGATTTTGGAATAGGCATCGAATAGAACTCAGTTTCTTTTTTAAAAAATACAGTATATAGTTCGGGGAGCTTGTATGCAAGAGAGTCCTGAACGCGTAAGGGACTGCGTTTGCCCCTCCTGCTGTTGGTCTCCTCTAAGGTCCCTTGCCTTTTCTCTCTCTCTTTTTTTTTTTTTAAGGGAGGGGGAGGACACAACTTCGCGGCGGCTCCCCCTGTATGTTCCTTTGTATGGATCTGGGCGGGAGTAGGGAGGCGTCTGTGTTAAAATACGGTTGGCCCTAAAATAACGTGGCGATCAGGGAGCTAATAAGAAACACAAAACAGTTTGCAAGTTCTGTTGTGGTTTTTTTTTTGGTAAAAGGAAGTGTGCGTCTGTTTAAAGCCTAGCTGGAGAGTTTGGAAAGCGCGTTGTGTATGCAGTTGGAGATCGCTATGTAAGCAGCTGCAGACTGCCCTGCTCGTGACCTTGACCCGGACCCAGTGCTGTTGCCCTTTCTGTCTGTTTCTCTAGGGCAGAGATGAAATTCTGTCTCCATTTTAGCTTGCTCGGGAAAGACCTCTCCCTACATGCTCGCTGCTTCTGGCTAGACTTGCTTTAATTTAAAAAAAGGAAAGGAAAGGAAAGAAACGCACCCATAGAGTGCAAGGTTTACTATCCATTTGCCCCAAAGCTTGTAGGGAAGTTAACATTTATTAAACTACAAGATGCAATACCCTTTGGGGAACGAGGGGGGGGGTTAAGCAGCTTTTTAAATGTGCCCTGTTTCTTGAGCATGGCTACTTTGTTTTAAGGATTTACTGGTGTGTTTATCTTAATAAGTGAAGGGGCGTATCACACTCATGTAAATAAAGTGTGAATTCTGAGGACTTTGAATTAAATATATATTGTAAACATAAGACTTGGAAAAACTACCAAAGCTTGTACGGAACGTTGATCCATGTTTTTAACCGCAAATATTTTGTGATGGTATTTCTTTTTATTGAGGGCTATGTGAGTAAAAGGTTGTTACCACCTCTGAGAGAACATAATCATTAATATGAAATGGGAACAAAAGTGCAGTATGCAGCTCTGGTATGAGAAGTACAGGGATTTAAAATGTTAAGATGGTACAGTGCCAATATTCACTTTGTCCTTTTACCTTCCATGTAGTTTGTACAGGAAACACTAGACAGTCCTCTTCTTAACTCTTGGGCAGCGCATTGTATCATACATGTGGAGTGTGTGTCATTGTATTCCAGTGTATTACGTTTTATAACAGTTTCACACTGTAATTGTTTTTACTGTAGAAGCAGAATCTGATGTTTAAACAATACGCATTGTATATTTTGACATTCTTTCTTAACAATGACAGGTTTACTATAATAGAATGAAGTGCTAATGTAGCAGCTATCCACCTTTTTGAGCTGGTTAAATGAATGTTGCAATGCTTACTAAAAAAGTAAGTTTTGTCAGATTTGACAAGGCTCATTTATTGATAAACATCTTTATGAATGGTGGCAACTCCCACTTTTCCACATGTGTGAATCCATTTGTTTTCTGTTGACTGATTTTTCTCAAATGTTTTATCTTAGAAATATGATATAGCTGAGGTGGGGGAAAGCATTAGACACCTTACCCTTTGTGGTTACAATGTACAAATACCACAGAAAGTGAGTTGTAGTGGGCTTGTTTAGTTGTTGGGAACCAGAAGTTGATTTAAATATACAGTATGCCTTGAGAGGAATGTTATGGGATAAAATGTACAATTGCAATAATTATAGGACTAGAGAAGGGTCTGGTGTGAAAAAGTAACCTGATATATTAAAAATATAATTGTTGCCAAACTATTGTCAAGAATGTGTTAAAGCCTAAGGCCAGGACTACAAGAGAGGCTTCAGTGTGTGTAAGCATTTCACCTTGTACTGTATACTACAGCTGAGAGCCAGTGTGTTGTAGTTGTTAGATTGCAGGATTATGACCAGGGAGTTTTAGTTTCAAGTTTCCATGTTCATTGCATGACCTTGGGCCCGTCACTGTCTCTAAGCTTAGCCTGTCTTGCAGCATTGTTAGGATAAAATGTGATGAAACTGGGAGAATAACATCTGCTAGTCTGGGGGTGTGTATGAAATGTGACCAGTAAAAAGAAAAGCATCATTGTTTTCTCTACCCTACCTATGCTGCATTTGGAGTCCATTCCTGAATTTTTAAAGTAACTTACTAGACAACAACTGAGATGGGTGTGTATACTTTATCTGAGACCAGATTGCGAATATCATAGAGGTAAAATTTGAAACTGACAATTTGGTTGACAATCATGCAGCCAGTGCAGCAGAACCTCATTGGGTTGCTCAGATTGTCTGTTTTTAAAATGATCTTCTTTCAAGCCAGCTTGTAGGCTTCTGTCCCAACACCTCAAATCAAGAGTATGTTTTGGCATTTCTGCAAGTATAAAGGTGGTCAGTACGAAGATCAAACTGTGCAGTAGATTCTAGGTATGGATCACAGGGATCCCTTTCATGTTCATTTCTTTCCTTTGTCGAAGTCTTTTCATCTTCCTTAACCCAGTGCCTACCAGATCTTTCAGACTAAAACTCATGCCACTTCACCCATGGGCCATGCTGGCTGACACTTATGGGAGTTTTAGCCTAAAATACCTGAAAAGCTCCTGATTAGGGAAGAATTATTATGCACCACCAATGGCAATATAGAGCACCAGTAGCAGCAGTAATAGTAACAATGGAAAATACGGATAATTTTGCATATTTAATTGGTAGTAAGTCTGTTATCACTCAGCATTCTAATTTTCTCCAAATAAGGTGTTTTTGTAAGATGATAGAA